AAAAGTTGTTTCAGTTTATGAAAGGAATGATATGATGGCATTACCTTTTATAGAAGGGAACTGGACTTCAACTGTGAGATCCTTTCCTGTTGCATATCCTTGAGGAATGACCGAAAGAACACCTGGATGGCCAGATGACATACAAAATGCCTCTTGCTTCAGACTAACTAAACAGTGGTCCTCTGGCTGCAGAGTGGTATGTTTTTAAGGGGAACCTGTAATAATTAGCCAGTCCTGAGTTTGAAGCTGATAGCTGTTTTCAGCGGTATCATCTCTGCGTGGATTGGCCAGCTGATGGTATTAACCACATGCGGTGTCTATTAAAACCTGTGCATACAGGTTCTAGTCTCTTCTGATAACATACCTGCCTCTTGGTGAGCATAAAGCTATGAAATTTCTCTACACAAATGGTATCCAGCGGAGAGTTAAAATTGATTGTGTCCTTGAGTTGAGCTAGAAGGAACTGCATGGGTCCCACGAAAGCCGGTATGGATACGATATTTACAGTTATGTTACTCTGATAAAGAATGTTACGGCAGTGCGCCTAGAACAACCTTATCTCAGTTTGTACAGATGTATGCTGATGCTTGAAATAAGGCTTCAGTGAGATGTCAGAATACCTGTGTAGTGCTTGTTGATTAGAGGAGGAAGTGTAGGTGTCACTAGGATCTCATTAAGGTCATATTTAACTTTTTATAAATAAAAGGAAGCCTCTAAGGGAGAAGTTGATATATGGAAAATGGATTACGGTGACACTGTTCACCGTAAAATTTCTAATCCTAACTGTAATACAGTAATTAATTGTACAGGCTTGGAAACTAGCAGCAATCTGTGTATAGGGAAGCACGATCCTCTGGCTAGTTGCCATCCTGGAATAATGCTCTAAACTCTGGGGAAGCGTTACCTCTGAAAAGGGAGCTAAAACTTGTTCTAAGTTGGCAGACTTTCCCAGCTTCCAAGCTAAACTACTTTTACTTTCTGCTAACAGTAAATTCATGGTTGGTTAACTTTCACGTCATATTGTATAATGTCAGCAGAGGCTGAAGGTAAGTTGTGTGTACTTACATGGAACTTTCTCAGTCCTGCAGTTCTTGCCCCCCTGCTCTCCGAAGAGGAAAACCCCAAACCCCCATATTGGGATCATTAAGATCCACGTGTCTGGAACAGAGGGCTGTGAAGTGGAGGCAGAACTCCAGTTTCTACAGATGGCTGATGCTATTAACGTGTAGCTAGTCTTTTTTGTGTTTACTGAGTCCTGTTGCGCACTGTTCTTGTCTGGACTTCCTTCTTTCATCTGTAGTAAATGCTGAGATTGTAAGTTTTCTAAGGCTGAACTCTCGCCATGGCTTCTGTGTTTAATTTGTTGCATTTGTTTTTCCCCTTTAGCACAGAGTCCTTCTGGAATATCAGTTTTATTCCAAGATCTGAGTACAGTTTGGATTCCTGCTTATCCTTACTGGAATTTGAGTGTTTAAAAGTTTGTTATTTTGTTGTTTGGTTTTTTTTTTTAAGAAGTCATATGTTCTTCAGAAAAGATTCCCAGTCTTTAGTAATAATTTGGAGTATTTCAGAATCTTTTCTGTAACATGACCCTTGGAATAAATGTAAGACCAAAGTGTTGCTTTTTTTTTTTTCCCAGTTTAACTCCAGAAATTGTGTTTAAACTCATATCTGCATTTCTGCAAGCTTTCAGTATGTATGTCTGTCAGATATAATAACTTCTCCAGCAGCTCTCTGGGACTTGAGAGAAGATCTAGACTCATCGTATGAATGAATTTATATGTCGATATTTCTATTAATAATCCGTTTCTTTAAGCTGTGGAGCAAGCATGCTAGGTCTGGCTGTACACAGTGGGGTGTGGTATCCCTCACCTTTAAGGGCCTAATGTCGCTGTAAGAATGAGGGTGAGGCTTTAGCAACGAGATGTGGCTTGAAGTTAGTCCTCCCTTCCCACCCATTTCTTAGCAGACTTTGTTGCCAAGCACAGAATTTGGTTTTCTCGCTCTCATTTTGAAGTGGGAACTGATTTTGATGCATATGTTATGAAGCAGTGATGGTTTCTTTTATATTGAAATAGCATAGTTAGGCTTCTTTACTTAAAGAGCATAATGAAAATTGACATATCTTAGCAAGCACAAACAGTCTGTCAAATAAACAGAGGTGTATATTTAGCAGTAAAGATTCTAGCTGAGACTCATTTCAAATTGAGATAACCTGCATAGAGTTCCCAGTTTGTCCATTCTTTAAAAAAAGAAATGTTTTCCTCACCTTCCAGCGATGCTGCTTATGAGCTTGGACAGTAAGGCGTGTTCCTCTTGCTTCTTATATGCAGGAATATTGTAGTCATGTGCTCGGAAACGTGAAACTTCTTGGAGTATTTCTGAGTACTTAGCATTCCTTAGCCAACCCCTATTGCAAAGGAAGAGAGGGTCGCCTAGGTTTCTGCAGGACAGATTTCATGGCCACACAAGTGGCTCCCTATCTGGGAGTTTATAATGCTGATTTTTTTTTTTTAAAAAGGTATAAGTTACTAGCAACTACCATCCTCAGAATGCCACCATAGATCTTTCAAACTAGATCCATGTTCGCGCTCGCAGAGTTTTTGCCTTTCTTTCTCAGGTTGTAGTACCCACCTGGTTTCTGTGGAAAATAGTACAGTTTGTGCTATCCTCCTGAAGTACTTGCACATATAAATTGGCCTTTTCCAGCTTTTCTTTTTGTACTTCCACTTACATACCTTGTAATCCTCCAGTTTAACCTTGTCTGCTGTCAAACTGAATTGAACCATGAATATAGTCTTCCTAGCTTTACATAGAAAGCAAGTGGCAAGTTAAGTATCCTGTAAGAACAAGTGAATTGGATGACAAGATGCTCAGTTTGAATGTTACTGCTCTTGGGGCATGCTGGAGAAGAGGAAGAACATAATGTGTGAAGATGTGTTCAGAAAATCTGAAATATTGGATGTTTCCACAATGACACATTAATTCTGAACTCCATATGGAGCAGTTACTTGTATCTATTTGCTGGCGTTGAAAATAATCAGTGCATGTATTGAAGTTGATACTATAACTCTGGAATCTTCCAGGAAATAAGTTGCTGGCTTGTTTGGTAAAGGGCAGTGCATTTTTGAGTCATGGATGTGAATTCTTATCGCTGTACTGGGTAAGAAGTGGTCTGTCCACCGAGGGTTATTTGCCAGAGACCGAGGAGGACAAAGGTGGCATGGGATGGCTGCATGTGATTTCCCTCTGCTACGGCAGAAGAGTTTCCTCTGAAATTTTCTTGATTGAAATTACTGTTCTTGGAACCTGTGCAGCACTTGATGTGGAATTCCATCTTGCCAACACGTACAAGAATTACTGTCCAAAATTGTCTTTTGTGTACTATCTTGGATTAAATTTGGTTTAATAGAACAGTGTGTGTATATATATAGGACTTAGCGTAGATGCTTTGCGTACTGCTTGGGATAGAAGGACTTGAGAGTTTCCTTATCGTGAGCCAAGTGTGAAGGAAAGGCAAGGTGCAGATCAGTGACTGGCACACAGTAAACCCTTCTTAACTGCCTGCTGGAGTCGTTCCCCCTCCAAGGTCTAGATAAGAGCGTTTGCTTTAAACCTCTGCTGTGTGAAGCGGTGGCTGTTGGCTGTGTACTGTGAATGAGATTTGTTGTCAGTCACCTTCTTTCTCATGACTACAGTTCACTGTTCTGGATTCATTGTGGCTGAGGAAACTATAATTTGCTTTTGAAAAAGTTGCAAGCTTGTAAGCTTCCCTGCGTTTTTATTACTTTACAGTGCTGGTTTCGTTTGTCATGTGGATGACACATGACTGAATTAAAATCTTCCCAGGCTAAAGCAGTGGTCTTTTTACAAAGTACCATGCTTTTCTAATGGCTGGCTATCTGCTGTGCAGGAGCAGGAAAGGAAATGGTGAACTCCTAGTAGAAATTTTCCGCTTGCTTAACTGATGACACTGCATCTAGTTTAACTTAAAACCTGGGACAAAAGCAGGCATTTTGCATCCTTTATGTTAAGTGGCAATATCTGGGCTGTATAGACTCGTAATCCTGGTTAACTGATGTATTAGTTGGTAAGTCAGCTATTACCCATTGCAGGCTTACACAGCTGAAGCTGGTTCTAATTCCTCCTACATCTAGGAAAACTCTGGAATACTGGAAGAAGTACTTACCCTGATATAACTTTGCTTATCACTTAGAGCCACTCTAGACCATAGATTGGTGAGTAAGGCTTACCAGATCAGTGAGGTATATTTAAGGCGGGTAGTGTGGGGTGGAAAGAGAGAGAAACTGCTAAACCTTGCTGTAATGCTGCTATGCTGACAAAGCCACAGAGATGTTAACTAACTTCCTGAACATCTGATTTGTGGCTTGTACTGCTTTTCTAACATGGATATGTAGCAGTCCAGACCCCAGTTATGACTGCTGCAGCATTCTTGTGCTGTCTTTTTAAGTACTTCCTAGCTGTTTGATGCAAGCTGCGCTGTTTCCTTTGTTCCTGTTGCAAGTCTCAAAAGTGTGAGGTAATAGTTCCAAATTGCTGGTTTTGTTAAACCTCTTCAGATTTTTGTTTTGGAGTCAGATTTTATTTTCAGTTCATGTATCAGCTATTTGGCTAGCAACTGCTGGTCCACTCTGTGACTCTGTACAAAGCAAGAACCTATTGGAGGTTTTCAACAGCTTGGAGTCTTTCTGCATAAAACTGAATGTGTATCAATACTACACAGAGCATGTTTCTACTTAGAGGCCTTAACTGACGGGTTCAGAGCAAATGATACGGGAGTTATGATGAATGTCTCTGGCACTAATTCAGTGACTGTGGGGAAGTATGCAGAAACTTGAACTGTGAGTGAAAGGGTAGTTGGGGCGGGAGAGGAAGGGGAAGGGGATTTTGTTTGCTTATATGAACTAAATTGGATGAATTGGGTTGAGTTTGGTGAACAAGTAGCAGTTCTGATGTGTTCTATTTTTTGTTTTAGTGCCACAATGGCAACTGCACCTTACAACTATTCCTACATCTTTAAGTACATCATTATTGGTAAGTATCACTGGGCACATACCTGTTTATGTCAATGTATATGCATGACAGCCTGCCTACAAACCTTGTGGCTGCACTGTTGTTGACTTCTGTTGCGTGCTACTCGCTATCTAGTAGCGATTCTTTCGGTAGTTACTTGTCCAGCCCCAGTCCCCCACAGATCACCACGCTTGCTCTAAAGCTTTAGCAGCTGATGATAGAAAGGTATGTGCCTTTGTGTGCCACAGAATCAGAACTGTGGGATTGGTGGCAAGTGAACTGGGAGTGAGGGCAAGTACCAGTGCCTGTATTGAGTTCTGGTTAAAAATAACTGCTCCTCTTGACATACATACCTCAGTATTCTTGAATATCTTCACTGTTAAGGCCATAATGCTTAGCCCTCTGCACAGCACTAGGAAAAAAAAGGCATTCTAAAAACATGTGCATGTGGTCCCTTTCTCCCTAAATCAAGTTTATATTTAGAAAAATTGCTAAATCCATTGGAAATGGGGAAAAACTGTAATGGGAGCTGCCACACCTGGGATGTTACGTTGATGCAGGTTTACTTTAGCACTTTGACTGCCGCTGCATCATTTTAGAAGGTTTTAGAATCTGTGTTGAAGGCACAAGTACTGACTGGAATCCATTGCTTTAGACAGGCTTATAAACTTCTGTCAGGCTATATTTTTGTGTTTAAATGTTGCTTCCTTGTCTGTGTAGATGCAGGGGCTTGATTGCATTTATTACTATCCTGGAAGAACTAGTCTTGCTGTGAATTATTTAATTCTTAATGATCTTGTGTAGGTGTAACTGATCTGCAATCTTATTGTAATGGCTTGTAAGTCAGGCTGCTGTGACAGCCTCAGCCTGTGGAAAAGTTGTTTCTTAAAAGACTTTGCTATTTCTCACTATTGGCATTGTGTAAGTGGATCAGTGGAAATGAAGCAATTTCTTGGTGTGTTCTGGTTGATTGTCAGTATTTTTGGTGTCCTTACCAGTAATTGCAAGTAAAACAGGAGCAGGACAAACACTCAAAAGGTGTATTTTACATTTCAGTTTCTTACAGGTCTGCTTCTCATAACCTTGTGAAATACAGTTGTAAAATCAGTAATACGTATTAACTTCTCTTTTGAGTTTTCTGCTCCACCCCTTGCTTGCAACCCTGTACCTGTTACCAAAACTATAGTGGGAAAGTTGATAATTTAAAGGACTCTAGCCAGGTATAGAACACTGCCCACTAGACCCGAGAAGGGAGTGGCTGCCTGCTTCTGTACCATTTGTTGTGTTGGATGAAGAAAATGTGCTTGTTACAACAATGACGTAGTGTCAGCTTTAACTATTCTTTCTGTAACAGGGGACATGGGTGTAGGAAAGTCCTGTTTGCTTCATCAATTTACAGAAAAGAAGTGTGAGTATTTCAATTCACAATATTTATTCTAACTGGTACCTTCATCCCTCTTTCCTGCCTTTTTGCTTCCATCATGCATGAGCTTGATGTGGTGCCTGTCTTTAATCTGTATGGGTTTGTATTGTACTTGGTCAGATTTTTGTTTTGACTCTACTCTTGCAGATGTAGAAACAAAATGTTGGTGTAATAATGGCAGAACTGCTGCTTCAGTCAGTCCTACCTGTGATGAGCGGAAAGACCATGCCTGTTTTTACAGCTTTTCCAGGGAATTTTGATATGAAACAAAGTGAAATTTCTTGTCTGAAATTTTTGCGTTTTTGGTATTGGTGTAGCTTGAACACAAGCAGTTGGAGGTTTTTTTAGTGCTTTTAAGCACTTCAAAAAGGAAAAAAGGATTTATTGTTCTTTGACCCTTTGTTTGCAGCCTTAAGTAGCACAGACTCTGTAGCTGCTGTGGCTCATGACACTTGGACTGCCCTGTGTGGTGGTGTTTAAGGCTTACAGCAGACTGTCTCGACTGTAATGTTTTTTCACATATGCTGTCATGACTAATTAAGAACTAGCTTCAGTTCTTCTTAATGTGTGTCATACTGGAGTTTGCAGCAGCTATTAGCTCTTACAACTTTCTGTGAAGCTCACAGTCAGTGGATAAGTCCGTAGGTATTTATTCGTGCAAAGTTAGTCTTTACCGTGCGCAACTTGAGATGCGGCAATAAGTGGGTAGGAGCTACAGTTTAAAATATTCCTGCGTTCTAGGAATCTAGAAATAGGATTTTAAACTGTTGCTTTTAATTAAAATCCAGTATCAGTCAATTGTTTAGATGCTACTTTGTATGCGGTCAGATTCTTGATGGGGCTGTGTCTTGTCCTTAGCTTGTCCGTGTTAAGCCAAAGCAGTACAACTGAACAAACTAACGTACCAAACACTGCTACTGCAAGGCTGTCACTAACTGCAGATAGCTTGAATACGTACCCATCCTTTCTGTATCTCTTGATTGTTCTTAAACACATCTTAATAAGCTCATCTTTATTATAACTAGAAAGATGCCTTTTTGGTTTTGATTTGCTGTGTTGATAGCTACGGAACTGGCTTTTTCCTGTGGACAGTCATGCTGTTACCCTGTCTGAAACAACTTGGATACTGAAGCTGTTTTACAGATGTTTAGCTCTGTCTTGGTAATTCCCTAAAAGTTATCTTTTCCTACTGCATTATAATAGCTAACCATTTATCCAAGGATAGACTGAGAATCAGCTGACTTGATACCTTCTGGTATATATGGCCAACCAGCATCGGGGTACATGTATCAGAGAAGGCAAGGAATTTTATAGCTGTTTTAAAAAGTAAGAACAGTTCAGGAAATACTTCATTTTATTTCTGGTTAAGTGATACAGTTTGGGTACTGTAGCTGTAAAAATGCTTTCTTGGAGACTGAATATCTAGTAAAGATAACTGAAAACTGGTGATAGTAATACCTTTGTAGCAAGGAGACATTGTACTGGAAAGACCTGATCTTTGCTCTTATTTTTCACGACAGTTATGGCGGACTGTCCCCACACAATTGGTGTTGAATTTGGCACAAGAATAATTGAAGTTAGTGGCCAAAAAATTAAGCTACAAATCTGGGATACAGCAGGACAAGAGAGATTCAGGGCTGTCACACGAAGCTACTACAGAGGCGCAGCAGGAGCTCTCATGGTCTACGACATCACCAGGTAAGGCGCTGTTTGTTGACTGGTGCATCTCGTGTCGTAGCTCTGGGTGCTTGACGAGCTGTTGGGATGCCACAGCCTTCTATGTACTGTCTTGTCTGTCCCCTTGACTGAGATTTAAAGGGCTGTCTCTGTCTGGATTTGTGTCCTGTTGTGTGAAGCTTGCCACACTTCTTTGTCTAAATACTTTTAAGTATTTAAAGAGCTGAAAATGAAACAGGGAATTACGTGAGCTGCTTTTCTTGGAAAACTTCACTGCTGACAGACCTGAGGATCTTGCCATTTCAGGCCTTGACTGCCTGTGGTGAAGTTGTTTAAGGAACTGACTTTGTCCTTAAAATCTACTCTTCAGTATGCGGATTTTTCTCCATCCCGGGAGGCAATGGATACTGCTGCTTAACTGGCAGGAATATTCTTAGAGCAGACACAGGACAGAATATTACCTCTGTGGCCGTGGGCTGTATAAACGTGCCTAACAGACTCTGTATAGATGAGAGCGCTGGGGAAGTCTGACTCTTCACGGGCTCGTCAGCCAACAAAACGAGGGTGCATAGAAGCTATCTTCTCTTCCTTTTATAGGTGAAAACTAAAGATGCTGCTAAAAGGATAATTAATCGGATATGCAACACGAAATACTTTTGCTTTCATGTGTTTCCCATCTTCCTCTGGGGCTGGTCTTCATATTCTTTAAGCACCTCTTTTTTTTTTTTTTTTCCCCTGCATATAGAGGTATATATCCTGTTTGCTTAAATCTTGAGTACAACATAAATAATCTTACACACTGTTTGTTACCGAAGTGCTATTCTACTGTACAGTCTTCTGTAAGAGTATTTGACAGGAAATCCTTTAATGTTTTCTTTACAGTTAACAACAATGTAAACGTTGTCTTTGTGAAGACAGTAAAACTACCACATCCTAGAAGTGTGAATGGGTCTGTCTTTCCAACCTGTGCTGTAATTGCTGCTCTGTGGGTTTAAAGTTGACTTGTTGAAGCCGTGGTCTTGAGTCCAAAGAAAGTGCTGCTGCTTTGTCTTGAGGTTGGGGAGAAGAATAGGGATGGCAGATGTTAGCGTGTTTAATGGATGCTGACTGTGCTGTTGGCACTTACATATTTTTAAAAAAGACCACAGCTAAAACTGTGCTTGCTTGATTCTTTGCAGAAGAAGTACGTATAATCACTTAAGCAGCTGGCTGACAGATGCAAGGAACCTCACCAATCCAAATACTGTAAGTTGGACTTTATTTAGCTTGAGAGCAAGATTGGTTATCCCTAAGCAAGAGGTGGAAGGCTTAGGCCAAAGCATCTGCAGCTTCTCTTAACATCTAGCAGTGTTCTCTTAAATAAGCTGCCTGTGTTTTCTGAACTACTTAGCTCCCAGTTTCCCTGATGTGTCCCCATTTTGCAGTGCACCAGTGACTCTCTTCCTTACTGCGACTGGAGCAAAAGCGTAGGCTTCTGTGCGGGGAAAGCAGTGGTTTCTTCTAACAGTCTCGTTGTGCTACTCACCCCTCAGGGACCTGTTTTCAGCGGTTGGAGACAAAATTGTGATTAACTGGACAAACCTTAACTTTTGTTACCACTTCTTCTCGCTTTGTGGTAGTAATGAGGTGAATGCCGTCTCATCTTAGATGGGAATGCAAATTGGATCTTCGGCAAAAGCTGACCAGGTCTTCTGGAGGGATGGGGGAAGAAGGTTCTTCTGTGTCTCTCTGACCGTACCACAAAACTGTTGTCCATCAGTCTTTTTCTGAACACCCCTAAAATACTTTAGCACCAAACTCATGGGAAGACTCTCTGCTGTGATGAAAGAAAACTTTTAAAAAAGACTCTGGCTGGATTAGCAGATGATTAAACAAATACAAGAAGTGGTTCAGAGTACAACTCTTGCGAATAAAGGGTAGGACTGCTGCTTTTTAGGACCTCATCTCATAAGAACAACTTAAAATATTTGGAAGTGACAGCCGGAGGTGCTGCTCCTGACTTCACAGAGGGGGCACTGCTAGAGTGGTGTTTTCCTGAAGATGCATGGCTTTTGCAGTTAAACTTTTCTGCATATTTCCTTTTGTGTGTTTTTTTTTTTGTCTTGTTAATAATGAGGGTGGTAGTGAAAAAGCTAATAAGCTTTTTCCCCTGACTAATTTTCTCTCTTCTGAACTAGGTGATAATCCTCATAGGAAATAAAGCAGATCTGGAAGCACAGAGGGATGTTACATATGAAGAAGCCAAACAATTTGCTGAAGAAAACGGTGTGTTTTTTCTCTTGAGCTGTTACGTTTCCTACAAGATAGGCGATGTTAAAGTGAATCCTCAGCATTGATAGCGGCAAGCTTATGCTTCCAAAGTAATGTAATTATATGTACAAATGTCTGCTGTGCCTGGCTTAACTCTTAACTGTGCTTAGTTCTAGAAATCAGCTTGTCTTGATGCCTTAACGTAGTCATAAAATACCGTTTGGTACTAAAATAGCGTCTTGCATGTAATCTGAAGGTCACAATGTGACTGAGGGCTGTTTGAACTGTATTATGCATTGACTGCTAAACCTCTGTTTCTGAACAGGTTTATTGTTCCTTGAAGCAAGTGCGAAAACGTAAGTGACTTTTGTCTAGAGTAATGATTCGGATGTGGTCTGTTTAAGAGGAATGTATTGGTTATGACTAAGTACAGCTGTAGGGTTTGGGTATAGTAGGGTTTTACAAGTGGAAAAAAAAAGAAAAAACAAAACCCAGACATTTTTGAGTTCCCTTAGAGGGTAAGGTATATATAGCAGTTTCAATCATGTCAGCTTTGACTTGAAGGTAACTTGGAAATTAGAGTGCTCTCTGCATTTCAGGCAAAGACTTGCTGAATGCAAATGAATGTATTTGGTTTTAAGGCATTATTTGAGCACAGAATGCGTACGTGTGGGTAAGAGTGGTTCCCAGTTAGACGTTCCTTCCCTTGGATGTTTCGAGCTGTAAGCGAGTTCTGTAGCGAGCAGCTGGTCCCTGCGGCCACCGAGAGGAATCTCCACGCCATACTCGTGGTCGGCTGGGGAGCCTGTCGGGACGTGAGGGCTCGGACCTCCAGTGACATGAGTAAATGCGGTTCCAGCTGGTGCACATCCTCACGGAACTGTTTAACAAAAAGGTGGTGATTAATGGTAGCTCCCCTATCGTTAAGCCTCTTCCAAAACTGCTCTGTGCATGTGGCTCAGCACCTTAGCTTATTTTTGCTACTCAGTGTTTTGGCATGTTCATGTTGTTTTGTGTTTTGTGGTGTGTGGGGTTTGTTTTTTTGTTTTGTTTTTTTAAATTCCTGGCTAGTCCTAATAGATTTAACGGCTAGGGAGTGAACTGCCTTATCAAAGGCAAGGATAGGTCATGGAACGTCGTGGTCTGTCTGCTTTAAGTACCATAAGCTCCTCTGGCGTGTAGGAGAACTGCAGTAGAGCAACTGCTTCTACTTGGCGACCCGTCAAATCCCAGCGAGGGTGTCTAGCCAGCTGCCTCCGTAGCGGGCATTGCTTTGCTGAAGTGTAGCCTAAATAACTCCTGCCGCTCTTCTTCGTAGCGGAGAGAACGTTGAGGATGCGTTCCTGGAGGCTGCCAAGAAAATCTACCAGAATATCCAAGACGGAAGCCTGGATCTGAATGCTGCGGAATCGGGCGTACAGCACAAACCATCAGCTCCGCAGGGGGGGCGACTAACCAGTGAACCCCAGCCCCAGAGAGAAGGCTGTGGCTGCTAGTGACCTCTGTTTCGTGGCTCCATTTCTGACCTTTCACCTCTGTCTGTTGGAAGCAGTGCTTTTGACTGCTTCCCTGTCTTCTGTACATCTTATTGGGTTTAATTAAAACTCCTGAGACAAGTTTAACACAGTACTAAACTGCTAAACAACTTAGATGTAATCAGGTTATCAAAGGCAAGTAGAGTAATAAAACCTCTCCTGCATGGTAAATCTAGAAGTTTTTTTTTTTTTGTTTTGTTTTTTTTTCCTTCTTCCTTGATTGTCCTTGTGATAGTGTCACCGCTACATAATTTAAACTGAGCACTGATGCTGGACTCATGACTTTACACTTTTGCAGGGCTTTGGTCTTGTACGGTTTAATTTTATGGTTCTTTGGCCTTTCTTCCCCACCTCTAACTGTGTAGAGCTGTCCATAGTAAAGGATGAGTTTTTTTGTGTGAAATGACTTCCGATGGTAGCAAGGGGCTCCGTAACGTGCTTTTGTTGAAAGAATTCCCTGTGGTGTGTTTTGGGGGTGGGCTGGCGCAGGAGTGTACAACTCGCACGGGGAAACAGTCCATTCATTCTTGTGCTTAGAGCTTTACGTCATTTTTTTTTTTTTTTGGCCACTTTTTATCCTTTACGTTTGTTAACAGAACGTAAATATGTATAAAATTTGAAGGAACTGAGCTAACAGTTAAATACATCCTGTGTATATGATTTTAATGAAGAAAATGATTACTGGCATTAGAACAGTATATAAGAAAATCCCAGTTTGTACAGTATGACCTATACGTGACCACGGTGCCCCGTTAGCGCAGACTTAGCCGTGGCTGCAGTTCACTAACGTAGGCGTTAACTCCTTGTGTCGGCAGTGGGCGTCGTGCTGGGGGGGGTCTCAACCCCCCGCAGCAACCCCCCCCGCCGCAGCAACTAACACTAGTGGAATCTGTCTCTCCATCTCTGCACTGTGCTGTACCTATGCTGTTTCCTTAATCCCCGTTCCGTGCGATCGGCAGCGTGCTAACCTGCTTCTCTCTTCTGTAAGCGTTTTGCGTTATTGGGCTTCACCACCTGCCTTGCATCGTATACAAAGGCTGGTTCTCTCGCACATCTTGCGCTTTTATACCTTTAACTTTTTGAATGGTCAGAGGCCGAACTGGACAGTTGGAACAATGCCTGTGCTCTCTAGGGATTTTTAACTACTGTTGTATTTTTTTGTGAATGGTCCCATGTGAGGGTTTCTTTTAAGACTTGGGCTTTTTCACCAAGCCTTCGAGTACATCCTTTGGGGGTGACACAGCCAGTAACGCTTGTGTGGAGGGGAGATTTCAAGTGGTGACTGTGCACGTGTGGCTGTTGCTGAACTACATGTGGGGTTTGCTGCGGTGTCAGGCTGGCATTTCACTGTTTCCCTGCTGTATTTCACTGGGAAAACATCACATATGGTTTAAAAATGGAAGGGGGTAAGTGCTTAACCACGATCAAAGGTCCAACTGTAGTCTTACTGCAGCACTTAAAATACAAAGTAGTCTTAAAATCCCTCTCTAGACACTAAAACTATACAATGTTCAGACTTGTAAGTAAGCAGTGGTACCAGAGTATTGTACAGTCAATGTTAAATAAAAGCCAAAACTGGAATGTGCAGACAATAGGATTTGGGTAACTTGTGCGCTGTCCCTTTGTTTTGTCTGGTTAGTCTGTTTTTTTTAACTAATATTCTGAAGTAGATGGGTATGTTCGAGACCTACAGCTAACACACCCTGCTTCGACTGAGGTTGCACCACAAAGGGTTTGCCCAGGGACCAGGACCTGCTGCTGACACGAAGTCAATGTTCTAATGACTACAGCTTGTTGAGGTGCAATACCTGTACTCCTGGAGTAAGTTACAGTAGGTCTTATTGTTTCTGTCACAGAAAGGAGTTGTTCGGACTGCTGTACTCCTCATTTGATGTAACAATGCTATTAATCTAAATATTTGTAAATAAAGTACCTGTATCTAGATAAATGGCAGTGGCTGGTGTTGCTTGCTGGGCCCTCTCTGCTTGTGGTGTCCCTGCTGTGGGGGCTTGTTCCATGGAGCTGTCGAACCAGGCTGGCTCTGGAAGCCAGAGGCTGTTTTCCATCCACTGCAGCGGCCGGCTTGCAAAAGCCGCCAGGCAGGCGCTGCTGCTTGCCTCCAGTCAGGCCTTTGGTTCTTGAGAAAAGCATCCTGTGAAACTGGTGCAAGAGGAACGCGATTACACAAGGAATGCCTTCGCGATGCTGTTTGTGTTTTAACCGCTTGTGTTTCAGTGGTAATAACTTCACAGGCTTTTCACAAGTGGAGGCTGCTGGTCACTGCTAGAGCCCAAAGCTGCTCTTGAAGATGTAGCGGGCCAGAGCTGGTAGTGTTATTTATTGCCGTGACACAGGGCATAGCTGCCAGGTGATGCTTGCTGCATAGAAAAGGTTTGTGTTAATAATTGGGAGGAGAAAGGGCATGCCTGGGGATGATGTCAAAGCGTGTCTCTATGGAGGTGGCAGGGAGGGTTGGGAAAGAATCACCCCATGCACAGTTCCTGCTGGCGGGTGAAGAGGTGGTCTTTGGGGGAGAGCTGCTATTTGTGGTGCCTCCTTTCTGCTGCCTGAAGGCTTTACAAAGTGGTTCTTCCACTACTAATTAAGAGCAAGGTGCTTGGAAGGTTGTTGCAGAACCACTGACCAGCACCATGTGCTTCAGAAGAGCGAGACAGTAGCTGAGTGCTACAAGCAGGAGCCAGGAATAGTTACCCCTAGGGAGATACCCTCACTGGGTACATTTACATTCTGCAAAAAGGAGCCACAGGTCAGGGCCTGCTCCTGCTGTCCTAAGCCAGGGTCACAGCTCCTTGGGAACAACTTCAGGGGAAAAAAAAAAAAGAAACAAAGCATGGATAAAAATAAGCATCAGTCACTGAAGTTTATTTTAAGTACTCAAAAATAACTATGTAAAACATCTGTGCATTGACAACAGGCAGATGGACAACTCTGTCCTTGTTAAAAGTTTTCTTTAAAGTGAAAACTGACAACTACCTACACTTCAAGAGAAGTAGGTGTTAAATACCTTTTAATTTTTTTTTTTTTTTTAAAACAACCTCTTATATACATAAAGCTCAGTTATTTAATCGTACAAAAACTTCACAGTACAGAGCAGGCACTGCAGCCAGCTGTTTGTCAGTGGTGGCAAATGCCTTTTCAGAAAAGGCTTATAAAATCCTGAGGTAGAAGGCTTTGCAGGCTGTAACCGAGCCGGGCGCTGCCGAGGGCCAGGCTGACCTGTTCTGGCTTTGCCTGTCCCCATGCACTGCTTAACTCCTGCTGGCTGGCAGCTTCCGAGAAGCAGCTGTAGATGTGCTTGAAGCTTTTCTTCTCCTGTACGGCAGCCCTTGAAGAAATATATTTTTAAGTTAAATCATTACAAAAGAATGCTGAAGTACCAGGCCGCTATCGTACCTAGCTGTCACTGAACTCTAGCTGCTAGGCCACACATTTATGAAACCCAGAAAAGCATTACCGAAAGACCAAGGATGGCAGTTGGTCAGCACAGCAGTAGTTTCTCCGTGGCATATGAGAGTTTACGAGCAGCTCTCACCCACAATTTGCTTGAAAATACACATCTGCAGGCCCAGACCCCAGCAAGCCCACAGGGATGCCGTCACCGGAAAGGGACAACTTGGTGCACAAACAGTCCCGCACCCACCCTTGGGCTACCACCACCCATAGCCCACAAGCCTCAACCGGCAAGCGGCTCGTGACCCAGCACAGCGTTTGAACTGGGCCGAAGTCACATCTCACCTCGGCCTTACTGAGAAATTCCTCGCGAGCAGGAACGCAGCGTCTGAGACGCCACTGAAATACCTGCCGGCCCACTGGGGAAGCGTGCCAGTCTCGTCAGAGTAGCCTAGAAAAAGCAGTAAAAGCAAGCCTGAGTAATAAATGAACGTCTTCAATTAGCAGAGTCATGTCAATCTTTTAAAAAAACAAAAAAATCTGGATTTTAAAGAAGAAAAGGTAAGACAAAAAAGAAAAAACAAACACCCCCCATGAACCAAACAACTTGGAAGAAACCTTAACCCTTTTCAAACAAGTTAGCTGCTGCCAGAGCAAGCGTACAGTACAGTCACCCCACGCTCAGAGACCCCCTGCGGTACCTTTACAATGGCGAGCACATGGCTGTAGCAGTCTACCAGTGAGCTAAAAATTATTAAAAACCCCAGACCTGGAATTCCCGTACACAGCAGAGCGTTACCTGGGTGTTTGTTAAATTCAGAGCATCGTGAAGCGACCCAAGGCTTGAGCTGTGGGCTAGGAACTGTGACTCTGAAGAAGTGCTGCTGACCAGGTCATCCAGCGCATCAACCTGTCGCTTCAAGCTGTGAAGGGTGCCTTCTGTTTGCCGTTTTCCTCTGATTAATACTTCTACTTGCTTGGACATGCACTGCCGGAGCTGAGCCTAAATACAGCGTTAGTTCTATTTATATCCAGCTAGTGTAATTTTCAAGACTGTATTTTGAAAGAAGAAAAAGTCTGATGACCTTAAAGTCAAGCCGTAAGGGATGTAACGTTAAGAGTCTCAAACCGCAAGCAGATGGCAACGGGTTTGCAAATTATTTTTAAATAGTTCACCTCCTCCCGAGTCAGAAATAAGCTCTATTTTTATGGCCTTTATCATGAACTGCTTGAAAAAGAGAGCACAGGGCTATGTTCTAACGAAACTTGGCCATCACCTGTACATCAGGTGGTCAGGGGTGCTCCCAAACTGTAATTTGTGATGTTGCCAATATACCATAGTATGATGTAAATGAGGGAATCTTGTTGGAATACTCAAAAATCCAATTAACTGTTAATTAAAACCATGTCTTGATAGAGCATGCGGTCGCTAAGCTTTCTTCTACTGTTCCCACCCAAAGACGCTCTGTAGCTCGTCGTTATGTACAGAGCGGCTGGGAAGGATCCCCCGCGCTCCCGGGTTGTCCGGATTATTTTTAGAAGGGACCCAAGAGACACGTTAGTGGGACCGGGAAGAGACACGTCACCTTCAGCAGATCTTCGTGGTGCTGCAGTTTCTCTCGGAGAGCCTCCCCGCGCCACTGTTCATCCTGGAAACAAAAGCACATTCAGCAACGAAGCGTTACAGCTGAAGGTACCAATGCTGACCGTGCTGTCGCACGAGTAGCAGCTACTTTTTGAAAGTATTTTACCATTAAGAA